CGGGTGGTGGGGGGCGGGCCGGCCAATGGGAGCGCTCGGCGCGCGGCGGCCCGCCGGCCCGGCGAGGCCCGGGGGCGGGCTGCTCGGATCCCCGGGCCCGGTAACGGCTCGGCCGCCCGCTTGTTTTCACTGGATTGTGAGTCTTTGTAGCGAAAGGAAACAAACTGGTTGGGGTGTGTGTTGGTTGGACCGGTCGGTGCACGGGCACGGCCTTCGCGACGACGCCGAGGCGCAAACTCGGCGCAGCGTGCAGCGAGCGCGGCTAGCGCGGCCAGCGCCAGCGCGGAGCTACGGGCACCGGCCCTCGCCCCCGAGGCCCCCGCCGAGGCCGCGGCCCGGGACGCGTCGCGAGTGCAGTGCAGTGCAGTGTGTTGTTGTGTGAACATGAGTTAGGACGCCGCCCCCCCTCGACGCCAAGATGCATACCCTTTTCGGCGACCAGAACGCCTACTACCGCCACCCGGGCATGTCCGGCATGTCCGTGGGGCCGGCGGTGGGCATGGGCCCGGCCGTGGGCACCATCGCGTCGTACCCGTACGACCAGTACACGCGCTACGGCTACTCGGGCTACCCGCAGCAGATGCCGCACAAGGACATGGTGAAGCCGCCCTACTCGTACATCGCCCTCATCGCCATGGCCATCCAGCACGCCCCCGAGAAGCGCGTCACCCTCAACGGCATCTACCAGTTCATCATGGAGCGCTTCCCGTACTACCGGGACAACAAGCAGGGCTGGCAGAACTCGATCCGCCACAACCTCAGCCTCAACGAGTGCTTCGTGAAGGTGCCGCGCGACGACAAGAAGCCCGGCAAGGGCAGCTACTGGGCGCTCGACCCGGACTCGTACAACATGTTCGACAACGGCTCGTACCTGCGGCGCCGGAGGCGGTTCAAGAAGAAGGACGCCCTCAAGGAGAAGGAGGAGCAGCTCAAGCGCGCGATGCAGACGTCGCCGCAGCAGCCGCAGCAGCAGCAGGCCGTGAAGCAGGACAAGGAGGACAAGCAGAGCAAGCAGGCGGCTCAGGACTGCAAGCCGCTCAAGCGGGAGCCGCTGTCCGCCTCCACGGACCACCTGAGCGCCTGCAAGTACCTGCAGCAGGACGTCAAGCCCCCCGCCGTCACCCTGGCCGACGTGCAGCAGGCGCAGCAGGCCTCGCAGCACGGCCTGGACACCACCGTGCTGGACGGCGCCGGCGGCTCCGTCATCGTGGGCCCCGGGACCTTCGACACGCTGAGCGCGTCCCCGCAGCCCGGCTACGCGCGGTACCCCTACCACTGCGCGCAGTACCAGCACCCGGCCGCGCACCCCGCCGCGCACCCGCACGCGCACCACCAGCAGGTGCTCCACGACGTGCGGCACGACCCGCGGCAGCACCAGCAGGAGGACGTCCTCGGCCAGCAGCAGTTCGCGCGCCACGGCCACGCCTGGTACACGCCCGTGTCGCCGCCCGAGGCGGCCGCCTCCCCGGACACCGCCTCCATGTACGACGGCCACAACCCGAGCTGCCAGCTGGGCGTCGGCCACCAGACCCACCAGAGCTCCCACCACGTGCCCCACTCCGGGGCGCACCCGGGCGCCCACCAGGGCGCCCACCACCAGCACGTGTACTACCAGCAGGACTGTGGGGCCGCCAAGTACTGAGGGCTCCCACCAGGGCTCCCACCAGGGCTCCC